AGCTACTTGCACGAGTGCATGGCATTGCTTGGCAACTCCTTTGCATGTGAGAATGAGACAAGGCAAAGTGAGGTGCTCGCACAACGGTGCGACCCTAAAGCAATGTGGAAACTAATTGCTTCGACAGTATCCCCCAGAAGAATTCACGCCGAGTGCAGTGGTTGAAGTGGACAGGTGTAGCCATGTTACGAAATGGTGTGCTAGGAGGTCTACTTTCCACAGCATTATTTCACTTTCATTTCAGGTGGGCCTGCTTGTGCATCAAGAGAGGTCTTGGCTTTGCGGCAGTGCTGACGGAGTGTTTCAGCAAGATGGAGAAACAGTCCTTCTGGAAATCAAGTGCCCCAGCTCGATAAAAGGGCAACCGGTCGTTGACGCCAATAACAGGAAGACATTCACCAGCTGCCTGGTGTACATTAATGACAAGTTGTGCCTGAAACCATCGCACAACTACTACACACAAGTGCAAGTGTTGATGTTTGTGCTGGATTTACAATCTTGTTATTTTTATGTCTACACATGTGATAAGCATGATGCCACTGTGCTCGTTCCCAGGAATGACAAGTTTTTGAACAATGAGATCCCTTCTCTGGAATGGTTTTATTTCAGCTGGTACCTGCCAGCCCTTGCGCAAAAGTACCAGATCTAAGCACATCAGTAAGAGTGACAAAAAAGACAAAAAATAAAGTACTGCATTCAATTCACTGCAGACAGCATGAGTTGCAACAGTGTTCCATGCTTCTTTTGCATACTTGCCAGTTTTTTTAGGAATTGGTGGTTTAAAACGAGGCTGAAATGTGAAGCAGAGTGCACAAAATATAATCCTACAATCGAAATGTTTACTTCTGCACTGAGGTGTGTGATTTCATTTGCCGCTGCTTCGTTCTCAATGACAAACACAATGGTACTCATAAAACTTGCTCGGATTTCACACTTTCATTATACAATAGAACCCCAAGGACATGGAAAATACACTCAAAGCTATCAACCATCTTTACATCTAATAAAAAAGCTACAAACATCTTTTACAACAGGAGATGACCTACATACAGGAACGCTTAAAGGGAAGATGGGGCACTTTTATGTTCGAAAAAAAAAAAACGCTTGAATTGTGTTCATTTGGCTTTTAGTATAAGAGATATCACAATTATATTTCAATGCGATGCGCCCGAGAGCCATACGAGCAATTTCTAAATAGGGCTGAAGCCCCGCCTCCCTAGCCTTGGGCAGCCAAAAGATCCGTCGATGACGTCACATAGAGCGATTGTCTTTCGCCTTTTCCCCCCGTTTAACAATACTTGCGCAGCAAATGGTTTGGGTTTACGGGGTAAAAATACACTAGAAATCACTTCTAACTAATTTTTTTTCAAGAAGCTCCATAACTTCCCTTTAAAGGGGCCCTGCAATCATATTTCAGCGTCTACCTTTTTTGCAGTTTCCACGTCTTTCGGGGTTCGGGCAAGCCAGCGGGCACGGAGAGAGTAACTAAATATCAGTGCATCATATTTTAACCGGACGACGCAGAAACCTCCCGCGGTACCGAAAGCGCGCGACATGCGACGTCTTAGGTCCTGGGCTTACTACTGGTCAGAGCCGCTAAAAGCTTCTTTTTAGTCGAAATACAAAATATAAGTGGCGCGAACCATTTCAATTATTTATAAAAGTAGTTTTTGTTCAGTATTTTAGAGCACGAAAGAAACAAATGCAGTTTATAAAGTACGGAAACAAGAAATGACCCGTCGACATAGTGGGATCGGGCGCCGACACGGAAAGGTCCCGGATGTACGCGGCGGCGCTGCAGTCGTTTACAGACTGGAGAATCCTACCGGCTCTGAGCGTTCCAAAGGCCTTCGGCGAGCAGCTGTGTTTTGCGGTTTGGTCGTTTCGCGGTATGCCAGCGCGGAGTGGCTCCCATTCTGAACTGATCTTTACCCTGTGTTTGCCGTTGTTTGTGGCCAATGAAGTGTCATGCCGAAATAGTATTTAATCGCGCAGCAAATGCAAGGAGAGCCGCTCTGGCTGCCCGCTGCATACAGCCTATCCAGAACATGATTTAGTGGCGCCCTCTCGCGCCGGTGACACAAAGTGCAGCAGTCGTGAGCGCTCGCGATAAGCCCACTACCCCTCCTCTAGTTCACGGCCGCTCTAGCAACCAAGGACGTCACGAGGGAGGTTATTTTTTGCTTGTTTTTGTAATTCTAATTTGCCTATAACTTCTAAAATAAAGCGATAAAAGTTTCACTAAGTTATTACGTCCAGTGCGATCAGGTTCGGTGCAAACTAAAACCAGTAAAAAAGTCCTTGCAGGGCCCCTTCAAGACAGTCACTGGCAGAGAACTCGTCTGCGAATAAAGAGCCTACCAACGAGCTTGAGTAAACTGACAGCGGTAAACCATAGGCCAAAAATGGCACCCCCCCCCCCCCCCGGTTGCCGCCATCCTGACCGTTTGCCACATTAGTGATCACGTGACTTTAAGATGGCTGCGCCCATAGGTGCACCAGATCAGATTGGCCAGATTACAATAAGCAGGGCCGCAGTCCAAAATTTACTTGATCTCGCTCTAGGGTAAATGTTCTGTACCTTGGCGTTCGAAAACCTACCCGCGTCCAGTTGCTCTATCAGTCTTGTCACGTGACATGACCCACCGGAATAATGCGGATCCATTCAAGTAAGATTCGAACGCAGCCTCAGAGGTCCCCTCTGCTTACCGTGATCTGGCCAATCTGACCTGGCCCACCTCTGGGCGCAGCCATCTTAGTTTCACGTGATCACTAATGTGGCAATTGGGTAAGATGGCGGCAACCAGGGGGGGGGGGGGGGGTGGTGCCATTTCCATTGTAGGCCCTGGGTTGCGGTCTACCGCTCTAAGTGATACTCAAGCTCGTTGGAGCCTACGCTGGTACCCAGGAAGAGTCGACCCCCATACGAGAAATTGGAGCCACATACCAAGCCTTGCCATTCGTCTGAATGGGCCTACACATACTGCCGCTTATTCCTGTGGCTTGATGATGGCAGGTTGCAAATTTGCCAGCACACAGCACATGTGGAAAACATCATCCATCAGGGGGATCAGAGTAATGGGCACCGTTGTCCTGAGGATATTGTATATCTTAATTCGCTGTATCATACGCTCCATGTGAATTCGGACCTGGGCAATGTCATAAGTGTCGCGCACTTCTTGCTCACTAAACTGTCCATTCCCCGATAAAAAAGGCGGCATCACGAGCACCGCATCGGTGTCTGCCAGACCTGCCCTGATGCCCGGAAAACCTTTGTCAGCCAGAATTACGTCTCCCGGCTGCACAATGTTTAAGAACCCAGAGTCCACCGTAACATGGATGTCGGAGCATCGGCCTCCGTATGCCTTCGAACGGAAACAAATAGCCCCATTAGGGGTTACAGCGACCAGAAACTTAAGAGTGTAGCCACTCTTGTAGCTCGAGTACAGCACGCGCTGCTGGCCAACACTACTTGGCTCCTCTGTTCTTACTTCGGTGCAATCAATGATCATTTTGCATTCAGGGTAGTTGACTTTAAAACACTCTGGCAACGTAGCTCGAATAATGCTAGAGGGAGGCCGAAAAATCCACCTCGCTGTCGCAGCAGTCAACGTTGTCAGCACAGCTCGGAAGTGGCGCGATGCTGTAGTTCTATCGACACTAAAAATCACACCAAGAGCAGTGTAGCTCAACCCAAGCTTCATTTTCATGAGAAAGAGGAGCAGCCGGTTCCCCAGCGTTACATCACAGCTCCGCTCGGTGACAAGGGGCAACATGCTCAAAAACAAAGCAAATACACTCATGCTTACATTGCAAATGCCTTGTAATGCATCCTCCGAATGTCGGATGCTCTCGTAACCTCCGAAGAAACTGGTCCTCTCGCTTGGACCTGAATACTTTGAAGACAACTCTGGCTGGTGCTGTGTCCCAAAGTCGCAGACCTCGCGATGTGTGATCTGTGTGCAACCAGCGCCGCCTTCGAGGGAGCACGTGAAGTCTGTGAAGCCTCGACTGCAAGTACCGAGTTCATCGGTCTGTATCTCCTGAAAAAGCATTTCCCATCTTGAACATTCAGCGAGGCCAGCCATGAAACATGAATTTGTTGGAGTGCTGAAAGACCGCGGCTCTAAGGGAGTTAATTAAGGCACTGGATGCACTGCAGCGTGCCTCACAATCCCCAGTCTCATTTCTATCAGCCAAAGAATTAGCCTTTCCGTGATTGACAATGTGTAGCTGTAACTAGCATTGCAGATTTCCTGACCCCAACTGGCAACTGTACAGGTCAGTCAGCACATATTTTTTCATTATCCGACTAGCTCGGCTTTTGATATGCATATCTATAGTGAATGACATGTCAACTGGTTTTCTGATACTTTCCAGATTTCCATTTTCAAATTATCACTTCCCAGCAAAGATTCAACAAAAACAACTGGTTTGGTTTTTGGTACGGTTATTGCAAAACTAAGAGATTGATTCCTGTACGGCTTTGTGGAGAGCTGGTTATCTTAGCTCGCGTCACCAGTTTAGCATTCTCCTGATTTATGTATTCCGGTTAGTGTCAAATACCTCACTCAAACCACAGTAAACTTATTTACTTCGTTAATATTGGCCAATTTTATTTCGAGTGATCCATTCGACGACGCAGAAAACAGTGACACTTCCTATGATCACAAAAATCATTCAAGCAAAAGCGAAATAAGTGTTGAAAGCACGAGCCAGCTTTTTTTTAAAAATGCACGGTGTTCTTTAATTTTTGATTGGCTTACAATCGAGGATATATTTTTATTATTTTTCTACCTTTTGGGATGGGCATAAAATCAATGCCGGCTTAGACTCAAGTAAATACGGTACCAAAATGTAATCAATTTCATAGTACTGCTTTAACTGTAACAGAAATCAAACGGCTAGTTTTTTGGCTTGAGTCTGCTTTTCAGCTTCTGATGCACCTTGCTGCAATCAAAAGATGGGGGGGAAAAGACATAATAACTACCAACTCGCCACTGAACACTTCTCTCGAAGTTCTACAGCTTCACACAGCAGCTCCAACCCCCGTTGTGGGCTTCCACTGGAATCTGAATCATGCTCAGAAGGCACTGGGCTGGTACCACCTGTAGATGGTAGTCCTGAAGAACCTGCAGCTGAGGCACCTGAACATGCTGATCGCTCCTGCCACCTGCAAACAAGTATGCACAATCAAATACATATCTGCTAATCTTGCACTATACACTTCCTATCAGAATATCGAGAATCGCAGGTGTCATGTCATATGTTCAATGTCATAAGAGGACGAAATAAATGTCATGAACTCCCAGTTGGGGCGAAAAGGTTCCATTTCATTGCATGTGCCCGAGCCACACAAGGTACACACTGAGTGCGACATTGTCATCTTTGGTGTGTCACTAGAGCGATTTGAGAAGTGGTTTGCAGAGAAGTTGTTGCCAAACATCAAGGCCAGGAGTGTGATAGTAATGGACAATGCTTCATGTCACTCATAGTAATGGACAATGCTTCATATCACTCTGTCAAACTTCGTGCCCCTCCAAGCAGCAACGAGAAATAGGAATGACAATGTGCTGCCGTCTCGTTCTGTATCTACTTTCTTTCGTCAGCTGAAGGACCTGCGACTTAAGAAATAGGAACAACAATGTGTTTGCTGTCGCACTCCGTGTCTACTCTCCCTCGTCTGCCGCAGGACCTGCGACTCGAGAAACAGCCACGACGACGTGGTGCCGTCCCGTTCTGTGTCTACTCTGTCGTCTGCTGAAGGCCTGCGACTCAAGAAATAGGAACAACAATGTGCTGCCGTCCCGTTCTGTATCTACTTTCTTTCGTCAGCTGAAGGACCTGCAACTCAAGAAATAGGAACAACAATGTGCTGCCGTCGCACTCCGTGTCTACTCTCCCTCGTCTGCCGCAGGACCTGCGACTCAAGAAACAGCCACGACGACGTGCTGCCGTCCCGTTCTGTGTCTACTCTGTCGTCTGCTGAAGGGCCTGCGACTCAAGACATAGGAATGACAATGTGCTGCCGCCCCGTTCTGTGTCTACTCTCTGTCGTCTGCTGATGGACCTGCAACTCGAGAAATAGGAACGACAATGTGCTGCCGTCCTGTTCTGTATCTACTTTCCTTCGTCTGCTGATGGACCTGCGACTCGAGAAACAGCCACGACAATGTGCTACCGTCCCGTTCTGTGTCTACTCTATGTCGTCTGCTGAAGGACCTGCAACTCAAGAAATTGGAACGACAATGTGCTGCCATCGCAATCCGTGTCTACACTCCCTCATCTGCTGAAGGACCTGCGAGTCGAGAAAGAGAAACGACAATGTGCTGCCGTCGCACTCCATGTCTACTCTCCCTCATCTGCCGAAGGACCTGCGACTCGAGAAACAGACACGACGTGCTGCCGTCCCATTCTGTGTCATCTGCTGAAGGACGAAAAAACCGAGACGACGACATATTGCCGTCGTTTCTGTTTTTGAATGTCGTGAAAGTAAGACAACACCCGCACCTCTGTGCAGTGAATTCATGAATGTGACATTGACTGTTGTTTTGCCCACCATACTCACCAGACTTGGCACCGTAGAACCTTCATCAAAACAGCAGCCTTTTCACAGTGACCATACCATCGCACTCTTTATGTGAGTAGTGTGAGGACCAAGACAAATAGCAATTTTTTCTCTATGAATTGGATACATTGGAATATGACCGGTAAGTGCATAACGCTCAAGGAGAACTAAGTAGATTTCTTAAGTGCCATCGACCTCGGGCAACTCCTTCGCAGGTAACATTATTACCTCTCAAACAACCCTCGTAAATATAGCTTCCAACAGTATTAACAGTTGTTGAGCAAGTTTTGTCGCTGGGCATACGAGAGAATCAGACACACGAGAATCTCTCAAGCAGAATCTCTCTCAAACAATCCCCCGTGCTTTTTTTCTTTCTTTTTTTTACAGGGCGCACAGTCGCACGATCTGCTTAGCTTAGATGAGGAAGTAGAATTTAATATCACTACAGCCAGCGAGCACCCATAAAGATGCCGGCGGACACACAAGCCAGTGCACACATACCACCACACACATAGCGAGCAACAAACCAAAGGTGAATAAAGTCAATATTTACCTGCTGAACCTTCCAAGTTGAGCCTCAGGATCCACAGACTTCTTCCGGTACACTTCTGGGAACAGCGTTGGGTAGTAACCAGGGTGGTTCTCGATATTGCTGAGTTCGTTGTTCAGGAAATGAGTTGAGCATATCCTGGAGCTCTCGTTCGGACTCCAGTTTGAACCGTCATCGCTGAAGTAATGAATGCAAGAATTAGCTTCAAACCCAACTGATATCTAGGAGGCAGCAAGGTATGCAGACTATGCTCATTTAAACTGGTGCTTTGTGTGGTTTTCTAGTTTCCCCGTCCCTATTTAATATAACACCCGAGTCAAATTGGGAATTCAATCGGTAAGGTTGGAATCTCTACTAAACTATATTTTAAAAAGCACTTGGGTTCAGTACACGCAAGAAGGAAGCGTAAAATACCTGGCTGAAAGCTGCTCGAACGAAGATTTCACTGACACGGGCCCGCAACGGTTCGCGAACATTAGAGAATGTGTGGTTCTCTGATCACATTACTGGAATTGAAACAGGTTCTGGCCTCGCGAAGCAGTTCACCAAATGAGCTGATCTCCGCAAAATTTTCACGAAACGCAGTTCCAAGAAATGCTCCGCGAAACATTGGCACAACTGTCCTCAAAACGCAGTTCAAACAAAAATAGTCCGCCGAGAAGACGGCATGTCAACAGCATGAACCTGGCTCTAGGAAGTTCGTCGCATCGAACATAAATGATAAAAACGCCGCGCTTCGACCGTCCTCATTGAAATATCAAATCAAAAAGCACACCTAGCAATGCGTCTCGAGCTCTGCGATTAACACGGAGTACTTACTTTACACGCCTTACGGCATTTATCCATCGCTGGCGGCGTGCTTGTTCCCAGGGCCGCGACGGGAACCTGTGGAGCTTGACACCAGCTAGGCCTTCTCGGTTGTGACAGCCTTTCACGCAACAATACCGAACGCTCGATGCCCTTCGACGCTTGGTCTTCTGCGGAGGCATCCGGGATCGCACGCGACAACTGAAGGCGTATCGAAAGCCAGGGAAACCAGACAACTTTTAAATTAACGCCGAGGAAGCGAGTCTCGACCCACACGATCAGGCACAGCTGCCGAAAGAGCCTTCTCAGTGTTGGAAATATTTTGGACCAGGTGGCGCGACGTGTCACACCAAACTTGATTGCCCTGGCACATCGACGACGGAGCCATAGGGCGCGCGGCCGCAGGAAAAAGGAGAGGAGGAGCGCGCCGAACGGTGACCAATATGGTAGCGCAGAGCAGAAAGGGCAGACCTAGACAGCGAGCGCTTGGGTCGTGAGCGGCCGCTGCCCGAACCACGCTTGTTTTTGTGTTTTCGTCACCGTCGTTTTTGTACTCCGGGAGAAACGGGCGCGGCGATTCGAAAGGGCGCAGGGAGAAACGGGAAAGGGTGGACGTTGAGTTTCTCCTCTCCGCGATAAAGACAAGAAAAGAGAGAGAGAGAGAAAAAAAGATTGTTTCTGCGTTTGGCCGCTCGCTCTTTTGTGGCGCTAGCGGGCAAGGTTCTCTCCGCTCCCGTTTCTCCGCCCCTCCTTTCCCATTTACGGCGGCCGTCTTTTCACGCGACGCGCCAGGCTTTCTCCGTATAGAGGAGGCTATGGTTCTGTCAACAACGGCTCAGACGGCCGGTCGCCGATCCTAAATGCGAAGGTCAAACCCCGCCGGGTGGACAAGAAGGGGAGGCGAAGGAAGGACGTGACCTTCGCCAAGGCCTATCGCAACACCCTTCTCCAGGGATTACCTTCATCATTCTTTTCTAGGTCGCTTGTACCTTTGCATTAATTGCATTATCATAATAACAACTTTGCTTTAGTACACTTCTTACATCACATGCGTAATCATCATCTGCAGGGGCTGTTCACATACATAAAATTACTGTTATCTCGGGGGATGACGGGATGGGGTAGAGCAAAGAGGGAAGAGGAGGAAAATTTTGTGATTGGCTCTCAGAATCACGCGATTCGTAGTAGTGAGAGCTGAGAGAGTTGGTTTTGTTTCATACTTAAAACCAGAGTGCACAGAAAGGGCAGACATCGAGACAAGGGCAGTTATCATTTGGGCCGTTCTCGCTTCGACCGTCTCGTTTGAACTTCATCAAAAGAACCATTCTCAAAACGTCCTTCTCGGTTGGGCCCGCCGCATTTGATCCGTTCTTGTTACATCCTCAAAGAAAAATAAAATAAAATAGGGGCACTTCGAGGTGTTGGTATTATGGCTGGGCCACAGCGTATCCTCGACGAAGCTTCTTCAAGTCCGCCCCACCCTCCTCCCAACGCGCCTTTATGTAAGCGCTCACATACACACGCACGCATACATACTTTAGTCCCGAGGTTTGGCTCCTTTCTACTCTTGACACATGCTACGAAGGTCAGGATCCGCCCTTCGCGTTGTCGGGAAGTGGTAGCAGGCACTGGGCAGTAAAACAGCGAACCGCTGTATTGTGCCCAAGGACTGCAGCGTTGTGCACGCTGCAGTCGTTAAAGTGGACTGCAGCATAAAGTACGAGCCGTCGAAGCCAATCCAGGGCTGAAAACGCACCACGCGCCATTCGGTTCTAGTGCGAACGGGACCAAATGCAAATGGGCCGAAATACGAAGAAAACGCTGTGGATCTTTTGAGAGGGTTCAAACGAGAATGGAGCCAAACGACAAGTTGAACGGACGAGCGCTCGCTCTCAACTGGGGGTTTATTTTCACAAACCGCGAAAAGGTAGTATCATACCAACACCACCTAGGCAGAAGGCCTCCGCACGTGTCATAACAGTCTGATTGATTGAGGCGTGAGATTGGGCACGAGTGCTGCGAAATTTAGCAGGAAATGTAGTGAAAATTTTGTGTGAAATTTAGCGAAAATTTTTTTGGTAAATGTACCGGGAAAATTGACGTCACGTGACCTCAATACCAATTCAGTTTCCCCGCTAAATATAGCAGGGAAACTGTTACCTCCCATAATGCAACCTAAATATATATGGCGGGGAAATTTTTATGCTAAATTTAGCGGGTAAATTTTCCTGCTAAATTTATCGGGAAATTTTTTTAGCTGAATTTAGCAGAAAAATTTTCCCGCTAAATTTAGCGCGGACATTTTCCCACTGAATTTAGCGAACAAATTCACCCCCTAAATTTAGCAGAAAAATTCACCTGCTGTATTTAGCGGGGAATTCAACGTCACGTGACCTCAACACAAATTCAATTTTACCTCTAAATTTGGCGCAAAATTTTTGCTAAATTTCCCTGCTAAATTTAGCGAAGAAATGTTCGGTAAATTTAGCGGGAAATTGAGTGAAAATTTCCAGCTAAATGGGAGGGCAGCAGTCGAGGAGGAGTGGAGGGTACGGATGCGGAGGAGGGGCATACTCTCCCCTCCGTACCCTCCCCTAGTCCTCCTCAGGAGCTGAGATCTAGTTCGGGATTAAAGACAATTGTAAACGTCTTTAATATTTTTTTTTAATTGTGAATTTTTTTTAATATAAATATAATTTTTTTTTATTAGCTTTAAATTTAAAAAGAAAACTCACCTTTCTGCTGGGTTGACAATGGTGTCCTTCCGCTCCCTGATAAGAAATAAAAGGGATTTGGGCTGCGCATGAGCGAAATTTCTGCTCACGGTTTGTGAAAATAAACTTATTGGGAGTGAGATCTTATATATTGTGCTTGTCCCTCTTGTGTTCGTATTTCTTGTGCGCTTCGTATTTAGTCGCTTTCTTACATTACGTCTGGCTGTGACCCCTACCCAGCTCTCTTTCGTGCACCTTTCTCATTGGGGACTCGTTTAGAAACCACGTATCGATCCGTCACCACTGTCTCGCCTTACTACGTATGACCGCATGAAGGAATTCCTACATCTTATTGACATTGAATGATCCTTTCAGTAGATGCTGCATCTGATGCTTGACAGTCATGTTTCACCGACAACCATGCTCAAGACACGCGAATGCTTAACTCTTGTAAGCGTTTCCCAACCAGCCCATTTTGTGAGTTGGGTGAAATCAGTCTCACATTGAAAAGTATATTGGGGGTTCTGTGTAGCGTCACTAAAGTCCATTCATCGGGGCCACCCCTGCAGCTATCTTTACCATAACTTTTCTGGGGCAGCATTTGTGCAGACACGCTGCCAGTGCTGTTACTCAATTTTGTCGGAGTGTAGAAGTTCTGATCATGCTCTCTACTGACTGTAGGCTACGGTTGGCAAGTGCAACGTCGCCAAGCCGGGCACCTTTGATGTCGTCGGCAAAGCCAAGTGGGACGCCTGGAACAAGCTTGGAGACACGTCGCAGGTTGGGTTTGTTGGCTTCGATGATCGGAAGACACTTTAGGTCTTTATTAACTTAGCTCTTGCGTATGTTCTCGTGAAAGCCAGTGTGCAATGCTTTAGAAGGTACGGTTCCCCTCGAAATTATTTTAATCATAAACTTCACTGATTGAACAAATGTATGATGCTGGTGAAGTATAGGGTACTGACATCCCTCACCACTTGACAGTATGCACCCTTGCTTCTGTCTCGCCAAGAAACCTAGAAGAAAAGTGAAAGCCGTTTACAAGTCCCTGTAACACCGAATTAGAGCGCAGCTCTTGAGGAGGAGGAGGGAAGGGTACTGGGGGGGTGAAGTGACCTGGAGGGGGGGTCACGTGACCTTGGGGGGTCACGTGACGATGCCTATGATGTCATCAGTGTCGTCATTGATGACGTCATCAGTGACGATGACAATGCGGACTCCGATGACGTGATCAGCGATGATGACGATGCGGATGTCGGTGACGTCATCAGTGACGTCACTGATGACGTCATCCGTGATGATGACGATGCGGATGCCGGTGACGTCATCAGTGATGATGACGATGACGATGTGGATGCCAGTGAGGTCATCAGTGACGTCACTGATGACGTCATCAGTGATGATGACGATGACGATGCGGATGCCGGTGACGTCATCAGTGACGATGACGTCATCGGGGAGGTCGCGTGACCTCGGGGGGGTGTCACGTGACTTCGGGGAGGGGGGTCACGTGACCTCGGGGGGGGGGGGGGTTACGTGACTTTGGGTGTCACGTGACCTTAGGGGTCATGTGACCTTGGGGGTCACGTGACCTCTGGGGTCACGTGACCTTGGGACGACCTTGGGGGTCGCGTGACCTTGGGGTGCCCTTGGTTACGCCGACGGCGACGCCGACGCCAACGCCGCTCAAGCCGGAACGGGCCCCTAAAGAGCTGCGCTCTAAAAAAAGACGATCGTATCACGTAACTCAGTTCTCTCAATGGAAAGATAGAAAAATGTACAATGCTTTTCAGTTCGCCTTATCACTTTGTTTTGGCTGTGCCAAAACTTCCGAGGCCGAGCTTGCAGAGTGGTCCCCGTCGGGAGCAATTACCCTTTTGCCTTGCCTTTACGTTATTATTAAAAGAATTGTTCATTTAGAAACACAATGAGGTAAACCTACTTTTCAAACTAAATTGCCACTTGGCAAAAAAAGAAAAGGTAGAGGGCAGGAGGATTTTAGGCAATCTTTAAAGGAACAAATGGCAGAACTAAGAAAAGAAAACAGGGTGTAAAGAAAAAAAAAATAAAGAAAAGGAAAGCACACACAATTTGCACAAAAGTTTAGGACATTTTGGATAGACAAGTAATAATTAACCGCTGCTTTTGCGACCCCGTGTCCATCCTTTGAGCGACCTCGGGGAAACGTTTTCAGGACGACGCGCAGATTGAATATGCGGCGATCGTGACAAAGCTTGCCGGAAAGAAGGCATCCGGTTCTGCACAGTACCAGGAGGCGGCGGCAGCGGCGTCATCTGGCGTGGAAGGCCTCGTGACGACGGTTCAAGATGGCGCCTTTATTATCCGCTTCAACAGGCCGAGCAAGAGGAACTCAATTACTTTCGAGGTACTCACCTGGCCGCCATTTTAATCTCCCATCATTTAAAAAAGCTATCTTCAGGCAATGGCCATCGCTGGCGAGGTTTCGCCCAGGGTCATGGCATCGTGTCGCTGTCTCACGTGACGTGATTAAGAAATTCTCCGCCAAGTTTAGTGGGGAAATTTTCTATGGCCTCACATGAGAGTGTGATGTCTGGTGACATTGTGAGATCACTTTGCACCATGACGTCGCACGACTTCTTGGTTGGTGGGCAGTGTGATTATGTGTAGTCAGTGTGTGGCACCTCCGTTGTTATTGCAGTCTATTTGCATTACACAACAAGGCACTTGGAACTTTTTATATAATGTTTAAGCTGCTTTAAGCATTATATAAGGAAGCACTCAACATTCGTGCAGTCGCCGTCGCACGACGCGCATTAAAGTTGCTGAAATTAGATCAGTGCCAATAGAGACGAAAGTTTCCATGTCGATTGAATTGAGCGCACTGCAACAAATGTGGAGTGCACGTTTGTCTGCTTCTTGCACAGGGGTTGGGATGATGTCAGAACGCCGAGCTCTTATTGGCCGATGGAAAGTAATAGTGGGTAAACCTCAAGGCATCTGGCATTGAGGTCTACCGACTATCCTCCCAATCATAGCCAATCAGAGTTCGGCGTCTTTCTGACGTCACCGCAGCTTTGCCGCAAGAAGCAGACGACTGGCTCTCCGAATAGGGACCGCAATACGCCAGAATGCGCACAAGTAAATTATGTTTATTGAATGCTCTCAGTTGTGTAGGAATATGCAAACAAGCTCGTCTTTAGTACTACAGTGTCTCTAACAGAAAGAAATGACATTTGTCTTTTCACCATAGTTGGGTGCTTGACGTTCGCGAGTTTTTCAAGCTCTTACCAACTCGTGTTCGTAAGGTAAGCGATGTCTTCTGCCAGGAGAAGGGGCGACGACTCGGCGACGTCTTCGTGCGAATCAGCTCGATGGTCGGGCGTGTCGTACGGAATAAATCCGAATTGTTTCGGTCGGTAAACGATTTCTCTTTCGAAGCTAGACAGATTCGCCGGTACCGTGAAAAATAGTTCTGAAGAAGAGGTCTCAGGCCCGTCGTCCACCGCCATCGCTTAGTCCGCTTGGTTCAGCCGTCCAGCCCGCTACTCCCGCGATGCGACGCCATGTTGAGGATTCTGCAGAGAATGCATAGAGTTCTTTCCGTTCTCTGTACAGCTTTTTTTCTTTTTTTCAATCAGCGTATTTGCCGCTTTTTAGAACTCACAAAAATGGGCATCATATTTGTTTCTATTTTCAATGTTGAGTGTGTGCCTTCGATGACCCACGACTTTGATTATATTTGGTGTTTGTGTCTAAATTAAAGAGAAGGCACGTGACCACGGGGAAGACAGTGAGCAAGACTGAAACCGGCCAGCTCTCGATTGACGGTTTTCGGGCGGAAAGAAAAATAATTTTGAACCGCGAATTGTTTTCTGGATAGTTAAGCTCTCATGTATCATGTCAAAAAAAAAAAAAAAAAAAAAAAAAAAAAAAAAAAAAAAACCTTGGCGGATATAAATATTTTGTCAGGGGCCCTTTAAGCCATCGGTGACCAGGACGTCATCCCTTGGTGAGCCGTCGGAACCTTGCAGATGTTCGGGGAGGTGATCAAGCTGCTGAAGGACGCCGGGCAGAGGGACGACGTCAAGTTCCTTGTGCTCACCGGAACGGGCGAGGTGTTCTCGAGCGGACTCTTCCTCGGGCACTTCCCCAAGCAGATGCAGATGGGACCTTTCAAGGAAGCCGTGGAGCTCTTGAGGTATCGGCTCGTCGGAGGGTCTCGCTAGCTCGGCTGACTGCGAAACTTGGTGCACTTGATCTCCTGTGTACTCCGTTCGCTTCAGAACCGCTAAACCAGTTATGCTTTGCAGTAATAACAACACTTCAGCCATCTTGATCCTTAAAAACCATTGTTGCCGGTTTTGCGATGCTTTATTTCTAAAATCGCGGGATATCGTCCCATCTCCCCAACACTGTGCCTCCCCAACGGTCGCCAATAGTGGCCGCTCTGCACCAAGCTTCAATCCAACGTCTTTCAACATTTATAATTTATCGCTAAGAAAATAATTTTAATTATGTTCAGTTTTGCCCTATCAAACGAAGAATGACAGAAATGGAGCCGTCGAAACGTGCCTCCCTTATTTGTCTTCCAAATCATTTTTATTTTGCTTCTCGGTCTCGCAAAAAGCGGTCACTAGTTGGCTCGTTTTGTTTTTAAACGTCTGTCCCCTCATGCACTTTTGTTTTTTTACTTTTTGTATGTTTTGATTTCAAGTTCTTGCATCCAAGTATAGAGTTTCGTACCCCGCTAGCACGGGGAGGGATAATTCGGGAAGAGGATGAGTTGTCTTCAGCACCTCTCCGTGAAGTTGTAAGAATGGAAATACCTGTCAGGCTGCTTTCATGCAGGCCGTAAACATGTAGGTAATACATGTTGTAACCCTCAAAGTTCGACCTACACTCGTGCTCGAGCCAGGTATATTTATTTTTATGGGGTAGACTGCCCGACACTGTTAGCGCGAACACCACTTTGGTGCTTTTTAGGTTAGTACTTCTTAGTTCTTAGGTTAGTACATCGACCGAGCGCGTTCCACTACTATAATAGTTTTGATTGCAGTCCTCTGACGACGAAAGATAAACTCAGAAAACCAGCTACGGCTTATTTGCGCTAACAGTGTCGCAAAGTCTGCATTGCCCTTAGTGTTCCTTCCGATGCTGCTCATACTAAGACATTTAGCACGTGGGAACAAATTGCGAGACAAACATTGACACGCTCGATTTAATGCGGCTTTTATAAAACTGCACAGCAGTCGGTGAGAGTGGCGTTAATCATTCGGTCGTGGCTCTCTTCTCCAGGCGGTACGTGGCGGAATTCATAAACTTTCCCAAGCCGGCCATCGCGCTGATCAACGGACCGTCCATCGGCGTATCCTGTACCATTCTCGGGCTCTTCGACCTCGTCTACGCGTCCGACAAGGCGAGTCAGAATGTTGTCAAGTTGAAAACCGAGAATGTCGGCCATGGCGGACCCCTTGGACACTCGTGCATGGGCAGTGCTGCCACATGAGTGAAGGGCCTGTACTTCATTAAAAGGACAAGAACGTCGGTCGACCATTATTTGCACGTCCGGTTTCAACTGCAAACTGTTTCCCTCTTTCCGCAGGCGTACTTCCAGACCCCGTTCACCCGATTGGGGATGTTACCCGAGGGATGTTCGTCCTACACGTTCCCGCGGATCATGGGAGTTGCCAGGGTGAGACGCGAGGCGATTGCTGGCCGAGTCGGCGATAAATCTGGCGGCCGTGATTGTCCAACGCCACACTTGACCTTGACACCGGCCAATCAGAGCCGCTAGATTTCTCGCCGACTTTGTCGCCACGTGGCCAGATTGGGGCCGCAGCTCGGTGCACGTGGAGCGAAAGCTGGCACTGCGGGACCCAGGGCTCTCGGTTTCGGCGCCCACGCTGGCCTGTTTCGATCTGCACGAACATCGTGCCGGCTTGCAGTCGTTCATCGCTGCCACGTGACGCACGTTGATGACCCCATAGCGGGGGTACTAAAATGGCTAAAGTTTTGGTCTACAGCGGACACATCAGATTCCCATTGGGCGTGACCAACTTCCTACCGTCTAAACGTATAGATATATACACAACACGATTGTTACTAAGATACGGAAAGGGCCGTCTCGGATCTCCACGAGTGTAACCCGAGCGGCACGGACGCGTGGGGTTTAGGCGATTGTGCGGTTTCCGAGTCTCGTAACCGATACTGGGCGTTCTGCAGGCGTGCGAAGTCCTGATGATGAACACGCGGCTGAGCGCCAAGGAGGCCCAATTGTGCGGCTTTGTGTCAGAGTGCTTCCCGGATGCCAGCTTCCAGGAGGAGACGCAGAAGAAGATCCAGGAGTTGGCCCAGCTTCCACCCAAGGTTTGTGCAAGCGTCATTAAGTGCCGCCGTCTTTGCCGTGCCTACTCGTGCGGTTGGGCGTCCTTTACGAAGAAGGCCCGCACGTGATCCGTGTCTGCTTCTCCGCGGGGCATGCGGATGCGGCCAGACGTTGGGATGAAAGGCTAATGAGTGAGCTAATCTTGCTGCACTGTAAGATTGTGCGAAATATTCGAATTTTCGAATAGTATAGTTTGGAATACTCCATTCAGTATTCGCTCGGAGATGAACTGCGATATTCGCATTTATCGAAGTATCGATCGCGGTAGGTCAGAGCCGTGTATAGAAAGAGTATCGTCAACGCGAGGAGCGAGCAGGGCCAGGGTGTGCACCGGACGCTGAAGGAGGGCTTGACATGCTCTCTTGGCCAACCGAATCTGAAAAGTATCCCCTAGACGTGGTATGTAGAAACAGTTTGAATCATAGATATTTGGTGATAATAAGGGCGTAGGCGTTATATGTGGTAACTCTTGAGGGTTGTAAATAGGGTACACGTGATGTTTCAATTATGATCACACGAAAAGATGGAAGAAACACATGTGCCGCTCGAACTCTATTTTGCTCGGACAGAGTGTGACCGCTCGGTTGGCAGATTTCCGGCCATTAATGCCTGGCGTACGGATTATGTCGATCGTTCCGCTAGTTGCGCTCTTCCACCATGATTTTGGATGACCGTGATTGAAACGTCACTTGCACCATATTTTCAGTCACCGAGAGTTACTCCGATTCCCTTATTAATTTCGTTTCTCGCAAACACCGCTAGGGTATTATTTCCGGCTTCTGGTTGGCCTCCTTCAAATTTGTGAAGACGTCCTGGAACACGCCCAGCACTTTTTCGGCCAATGGCGTCTCCTCATTTGAATCTTGTACTTCCCAATGAATGGCCAAACTCTCTGTATACTATACGGCTCTGCGGTGGGTTTGCCTCGCTGTGCGTGGTCTTTACCGAGCACCGGTGCACCGCGGAGAAACAGCACACGCGAAACTCGCTTCTTCGCAAGCGCGCACAATGCTCGTACTTGTGTGCTATATATGCACATATGAAATATCTAGATGTGCTGCATCTACCTGGTATAGAATTGATTCCGACGTAAAAGAACCTATGTGTGATGCATGTATTTGAGCACCAGCATCTGCATGTAAGGAACGTATGCAAAGACAGTATGCTTACATACTTTTTGGTCCAAGGTAAGAAATGCCTCGTGTGGTGATTCTTCCACAGTCCCTGATGCACTCCAAGACACTGGTCCGGGCATCCGTGTTGGAAGATCTTCACAAGGCAAACAACCTAGAGTGCGAACAACTCATCAAACTTTACGCTTTGGAGGAGACGAGGGATGCTGTGATGGCCTATCTTCGAGGCGAGGTCAAGCTCTGAGGGGCAAGGTACATGACCACGCCGATGCCTTATTAAAGACTATCATGAAGTGATATTTGGGCTATGATAAATTGAGAGTTTACTAATCGCATATCGCTCAGTGTGCCAAAAGAAAATTAGTATGCGAAGTTAGAACGCCTGAAGCCAGCTTTTTGGTACGAAATTTTGAAAGTAATAACGGACTATTTCTTAACTCCTTTCCTTCGAAAGCTCTCCGCCCTTTTGCTGTGATGCATCCGCCGAGCCCAAGCACGTCAGCTGACCCCAGCTCACACACTGGACACGAGCACTGCATCACGCAAACAAACGGAAATAAACAGCGCAAAAAATAGAGAATTAAGGACGAAGGGAAGATGCGAACAACAGAAGCGCTGGACTCACAACTAAACATTTATTGAAAAAACACCAACCAAGTAAACCGCACTATCGCTTCAGCACGTGTCAAGGTAAGCAATTTCGTTTTTGTGAAGAAAAACCGATGTTTGGCTGACGGATGCACCTTGCCCCTCTTTTGTTATTGCATACTCTTCTAATATTTCTCTGGTGGTTTTTCTGTGCGCCTCCCGATGATGGTGATGTTGTTGAATTTGGGCTGGCATTTACAGGCAGCACAATGCAGAGGCAAGTGACCCCCAGCGGTCGACCGGAGTGACCAGTCATATTCACCTGCCCTGTCATTAATACATCGGCCAGTTTCGCCGATGTACACTCTTCCGCAGCTTAGTGGGATCTTGTACACCACACCATGCCACACAATCAACATACTTGTTCCTGTGCTTTACGGCACATTGGTTCTTGCCCCCAGCCTATTACGCAATCCTAGGGCAGAGCTGTGCCAACTTTCGAGGTGCCAAAAAAACAACGGGGACGTCAAACCGCCTGCTACCTTTTTGAAATTGTGCGAGATTTTATGCATGTTAGGTAGCACCAGGGGTCTCGTTGTGGGTCTCTCTTTTTTCTGACTTAACCCTCCCTTAATCTTTTTCAACAACGTCTGCGTCACTGCCAGAATAACTGACGCTGGGAAGGCAGCATCTGTCAGCCGCTGTACCTGCATCCTAAAACTTACTGACATTGAATGGTAGCAGGACTTTTCCAATGCGATCTGGAGGCAAGAGAACGCAATGCTACTTTTTACGAGTTTAGAGCGGGCGGAATCATAAGGAAGTAGCCGCTTCTTAGAGCGTGGATTGTAAAGCCAACACACGTGACTTTTTCCAAAATCTAGTCTAAGGCCTAAAAATTGGAGGTGTGCCCCATCCTGTAGTTCATGGGTAAACCTTAGCCCCTCAGAATGCTGAGTGAACACATCCAACACGGCTCTGACAGCCCTGTCATCAGAGGCACCTTCAGACCATCTTGTAACAATCGGCAACGAATCTAAACACTTCCTTAACACATTACTCGTGCATTGATTGCCTGATCCCATTAGACCAAGAAAATGTCAAAAAATACCGGCGCTACACAAGAGCCAATGCAAATTCCTTCTTTTGGTACATAGTAACCATCGTAACCAATATCGACTGCAAATAAAACTTCAGTAGTTTCATAAAACTATCGACTTCTACGCCACTCTCAGTTTGAAACTTAATGACCCTGTTTTCATCAATACATTCACGCACCGACATAAAGAGCCGCTCGTGAGGCACGGCGTAGAAGAGGTCCTCAACATCCATAGAGAATGCCGCTGCCTCTGCGTGTTCGCCTGCACTAAGATATTCCACAACCGCATGCAAATTTCGCACTAGAAACGGGTCCCGAAGCTCTAGGGCACTAAGATGACACAGAAGAAACTGGCTAACCTGTTTCTGCCACGGCCCCCTTTCCGTTACAGTAGCCCAGAAGGGTGAGTCCACCTTATGTGCTTTTACAGAAAAGGAAAATCTTTAGGTGGTCTTCCTTACTCCCCTTTATGTCTTTTCCTAATATGGTCAACTCGAGAGTATCACACAGCGTCAGTGCTGCGCCTTTGACTCTTTTTGGGTCGAGTGACGTCGGTTTAAAGTTCTTACAAACCTCTGTTCTAGATGTACTGCTTAGCATGTCCCGAGGTAGAACGACGAATCCCCCCTCATTGTGTGCTTGGAGCAAACCAAGCTCGCTTTCCTGAAAAAACGACGCAATTGTTTTCAGCGTGGCCCTTACACGCGATGTTGACCTTTTTGGGGAGCTTCGTGACAAACAATCAACCCCCCCTCCAAGACACACCTTTGTCTTTCTTTTATATCAGTCTTTTCCGACACCCTCCGTACCAAGGCCAGCAACGAGGGTAGAAAGTTGGGCAAGTTGGTGATTCATAATGATTAAAAAGCTCAAAGAGAGGACGGACACAGAAGAAGACACAGACACAGCGCTACTTACGACTGAACTTTATTTCCGCCGCAGCTCGGTATGTATTACCAGCCACGACACAAACAAGTTAGGAAGATATAAGATACATATCGTAAAAATCATAAAAAAAAACATAAAAAAGGCTAAAAGTCATGCATCACTCATCGGCACCCTCCCAAAACAATTCATCCTTGGTCGTGAAACTGCAATTCTTTTTCGGATAAAGATAAAGAGGGTGCGCTGAAACATTGCAGCCCTAATCTAGCAATTTCTCGAGCCTCGAGTATTTTTCTTGTGGCTTTGATTCTGTTTTTGCTTAGTACAGTACAGTCTGTCAAAAATCGGAGCACAACCACAATCCCGGCAACGCAGACCGAGGTGTCCTGATATGAGGGCATCGACGTTGTAACGGTGTTCCTTGAATCTTTCATTTAGGCAGCGACCAGTCTGCCCCACATAATGACGCCGGCACGATAATGGCACGGAGTACACAACCTCTTCTGTACACTGAACAAAGCAAGTTTTGTGCTTTTTCGTGCAGCCGGGTCTGCTTATGGTGTTCGAGGTGGAATTTTCCTTTCTACATAAACTAGCCAACTTGACAGGTGCCGAAAAAGGGAAAGCCGTTTACAACTCCCTGTAACGCCGAATTAGAGCGCAGCTTTTGAGGAGGAGGAGGAGGAGGAGGAGGAGGGGAGGGTACTGAGGGGGGTCGTGTGACCTCGGAGAGGGATCACGTGACCTCGGGGGGTCACGTGACACCCCCCCCCTCCTTGAGATCACCGAAGGTACCTGAGGTCCTCCCGAGGTCCTCCCGAGGTCAGGGGGGGGGGGGGGGCGGGGGAGAGGGCTCGCGGGTACGCCGACGCCGCTCAAGCCGGAAACGGGCGCCTAAGAGCTGCGCTCTAAAACAACGTTAACCGCTGCGTGCAAGCCCACTCTTTTCAGGTTATGGGACACTTTATGTAGATATAGTAGACCAGCTGGTTTCTCTTTTTTCTTCCTCTGTACTTCCGTTCCCTGCTACGGCTGAGAGAAAGGAAACTGGATACCCTGCGGACTTGAGTCTTGACACATGATTTTTAAAACTTTCGTTGATCTTGTAAGTGCACGATTTCGTTAGAGCGTTACCGAAGCAGAGATTGATTAACCCCCTCTTCGCGAGTTTCGAGTGCGCCGACGCGAATGGCCGGTCGAAAGTCAAGCCTCAGGTCCAAGAACCTAGTGGAACCCCCCACCGGCACTTCATGTGTTAGCACCAGGGGCCTTAGACAGTCACTAAAAGTGGACAGGGTCACGGACACTAGCTCCTCAAAGACATCTGAGCTGCAGTCGAAGAGGACTAAAAGATCGTCCACAAATCTAAAATGCTCACAACCTTAGAACCCTCAAGTTTGCTAGCCAGGATCCGATCAAGGGCCACTAGAAAAATGTCGCTAAGTACCGGTGCTAAATGGGAACACACCCATCTGAATAAAAGTGCCTTCGTCCCACGTGGAAAACGTAGACCTTAGATAAAATGCCAGGAGTTCAATGAAACTGCTTACATCGAGTCCTGCCTCATTTTGAAATGCAACTAGACTATGCTTATCTATCATATCTTCTACACAAGACAGCAACTCAACCTGGGGGCTCGAGTAATATAGTTCCTTAATGGCAACAGAATAACCCAAGACGCTCTTGTTGGGAAGAGCTATCAAGGCATCTACCACATCTTCTGAGCTCCTAACACGAAAAGGGTCATCAACAGTCAGGAGTTTTAACTTAGATTGCAAGAAGACTGCTAGGGCTTTCTGCCAGGTACCATTTTCTGCGACAAATACTGGCAGAGGGCAGTTTATCTTGTGAGTTTTGGCCGAAAAAAAAAGGTTCAAACTTAGTGTTTTGCTCTTGTCAATGGCTAGGGCGCGTCCTCCCAAATTTAATCTTTTGCACATGGCCCGTGATTCGAGTTTCTTTTTGCTAGCGCTACGTCATCACGCCTTAGGAAGGTGGACTCAACTGCCTCTGACGCCTTTGACATGAACGTGCTCTTCGGCATGTTCATTGTCCCTGGTGTTAACACATGAAGTGCCGGTGGGGTGTTCCATTAGGTTCTTGGACTTGAGGCTTGAAGTTGACTTTCGACCGGGGCATGTATGTTGAATTTATGAACCAAGGGGGAACAAGACAATCCTCCCATTCGCGTCGGCGCACTTAAAACTCGTGAAGAGGGGGATAATCAATATCTGCTTCGGTAACGCTCTAAAAAAGTCGTACACTTACAAGATCAACGAAAGTTTTAAACATCAGGTGTCAAGACAAGTCCCCGGGGTATCCAGTGTCTCTTCTATCAGCCGTAGCAGAGAACACTCTCAAGACGTTAAATAATAAAAATAGGTAGAGAACGGAAGTGCAGAGAAAGAAAAAATTAAAGCCGTTTACAACTCCCAGTAACGCCGAATTAGAGCGCAGCTCTTGAGGAGGTGTAGGGAAGGGTACTGAGGGGCGGGGAGGTTACATAACCTCGGGGGAGGGGGGGGGGGGGGGGTCACGTTACCTTGGGGGTTCACGTGAGCTTGGGGGTTCCCGTGACCTCGGAGGGGGGGGGGGGGTGTCACGTGACCTGGGGGGTCACGTGACACCCCCCTGCTCGAAGTTTTTCCGCTTTTCCGCTAGATTTAGCGGGGAAATTTTTTCGCTCAATCTAGCGGGGAAATTTTTCCGCTATATTTAGCGGGGAAAATTTTCCGCTAGATTTAGCGGGGAAAATTTTCTGCTAGATTTAGCGGGGAAAATCTTCCCTTAGGTTTAGGGAGGAAATTTTTCCGCTAGAGTTTGCGGGGAAACTTTTCCGCTAGATTTAGGGGGAAAATTTTTCTGCTAGATTTAGCGGGGATATTTTTTCCGCTAGATTTATTGGGTAAATTTTTCCGTTAGATTTAGCGGGGAAATTTACCCATAATGCACCGCGCGGTTACGCCGACGGCGACGCCGCTCAAGCCGGTAACGGGCGCAAAAGAGCTGCGCTCTAAAAAGAGAAACCAGGGGTCATACCATATCTACATAAAGTGTCCCATAACCTGAAAAGAGTGGGCTTGCACGCAGGGGTAAACGTTGTTTTTAGAGGGCAGCTCTTAGGCGCCCTTTTCCGGCTTGAGCGGCGTCGCCGTCGGCGTAACCGCGCGGTGCATTATGAGTAAATTTTGCCGCTAAATTTAGCGGAAAAATTTCCGCGCTAAATCTAGCGGAAAACTTTCTCTGGGGGGTCACGTGACCCCCCTCCCCGAGGTCACGTGGGGGGGTCACGTAACCCCCCACGTGGACCCCCTCCCCCGAAATCACGTGACCCCGCCAGGATCTGTGACCTCGGGGGGGGGGTCACGTGACCCCCCAAGGTCACGCGACCCCTCCCCCAGGTCACGTGACCCCCTACCTCAGGTGACCCCCTCCCTGAAAACACGTGACCCTCACTACCCTTCCCTCCTCCTCCTCAAGAGCTGCGCTCTAATTCGGCGTTACAGGGAGTTGTAAACGGCTTTCACTTTTTTTTTCAGCACCTGTCAAGTTGGCTAGTTTATGTAGAAAGGTAAATTCTACCTCGAACACCATAAGCAGACCTGACTGCACGAAAAAGCACAAAACTTGCTTTGTTCAGTGTACAGAAGAGGTTGTGTACTCCGTGCCATTATCGTGCGGGCGTCATTATGTGGGGCAGACTGGTCGCTGCCTAAATGAAAGATTGAGGAACACCGTTACAACGTCGATGCCGTCATATCAGGACACCGCGGTGTGCATTGCCGGGATTGTGGTTGTACTCCGATTTTCACAGACTGTACTCTACTAATTAAAAACTGAAACAAAACCACAAGGGAAATACTCGAGGCTCGAGAAATTGCTAGATTAGGGCTGCAATGTGTCAGCGCAACCTCTTTATCGTTATCCGAAAAAGAATTGCAGTTTCTTGACCAAAAAGGACTAGTTTTGGGTGGGTGCCGATGAGTGATGCATGACTTTTAAGCCCTGTTCGCACATGCAGCGGAGCGCTAAGTTAGTGCTACTTGAGCGCTCCAAGGAGCGCTCATGTGGCGCTCCCTAGCGCGTGACTGAGTTCTAATATAGCGCGCGATTAGCGCTTCTGTAGCGCCATGTTAGCGCTTTAGTAGCGCTGTGTTAGCGCTTCAGTAGCGCTTCTTGTACCGCGGTGCTGCGGATTAGCGCGTGCACTGCGGTTCCGGTTCCTGTGGTTGGGTGTGCATCAGCAGAACCATGGCGGACATGTATTATGCTGAAATAGAAATGCGACAAATGCTCTTACATACGCGATTAGTGCATCATATGTGTGTGGACGGCTTAACGCCCAGAAGAGCCTTCTGGGTGCGCGAAATCTTTCGCCAGCGAGATACCGAAAGGTACCCGGCGAACCTTGTTCCTAGGTTGAGGGACCGAGACACAGAGCTCTTTCGAGGCGATTGTTTTTAACTGCGTGTCTTTGAAACCAGGGGCACGCATATCGAATAGAAAGCGATGAGGTCGTACCCAATCAATTAGTCGCTCAAAGTCCCTGACTCTGGATCGCCTGCCCGACCCTTTGCTTTGAGAGCAGCTCTTTTACTTCCTCTTCTTCCAATGCCAAAGGAAAAATAACAACAAAGGAATCGCCGTGCACGCGCTGTTCCACAACAGCAAGCACAACACAAGGTGCGTGAGAGCGCTAACAAAGCGCTTCTGTCGCGCTTCTGTCGCGCTAAAGGCCGGTTCTCACATGCAGCGAAGAGCTCATGTAGCGCTCCTCACGTGTCGTCGGCTACTTATCCTCTGCCATGAGCAACAGTTTTGACGGTGCGATACAGAGCTGGTGAACGCTGCCGTCAGCACGCGCTTAGCGCGAGGTTAGCGCTATGCTTGTAGCGCTCCGCTGCATGTGTGAACGGGCCTTGAAAAAGCGCTTCTGAAGCGCTAACAGAGCGCTACTGAAGCGCTAACACAGCGCTACATCACGCGCTAGGAAGCGCCACATGAGCGTTCCTTGGAGCGCTCACGTAGCGCTAACTTAGCGCTCCGCTGTATGTGTAAACCGGCCTTTAGCCTCTTTTTTGTTTTTTATGATTTTTACGATGGGTATCTGATATCTTCCTAACTTGTTTGTGTTGTTGCCGGTAATATACACCCAGCTGCAGCGGAAATAAAGTTCAGTTGTAAGTAGCGCTGTGTCTGTGTCTTCCTCTGTGTCCGTCGTCTTTTTGCGCTTTTTAATCAAGGCCAGCAGTTAACGTGGCCTTGAAAGCGGTTCCACGCTGTACTTCGGTCCTTTTTCCAGAGTTCTTGTCACATCCGCCGGAAGCTGAACATCTCCAAGTACTGTCAAACTGCCTCCACTATGCACCGTTGTCCGCGCTCTCTTCAGTAACGCGGTTCGAGCTGGTTGCCACAGAACGTTTGTCACCTGATCCAACAGCTGAAGATGCTATCTGTGTCTCCGCAATCCAGACGCTGAGGCCGCAGCACACACGCAAAGCACTTTCAAGTAGTGGTGCAGAAGCCGAACTTGTCTCCAGTTTTCCGACCTTAAAATCTTGCTCATGCGTTTCGTATGGCCGCTAGAAGGCTGCATGCACCCGAGGATGCCTCCAACGGCAGCAGGTAGAAAGCCATTTTTGATGCAGAACGAAAGATAGCGCGCTCGGCATGTCGAAACAGCACAACAAGGTTGGCACAGATGATAGCTTGCCGGTTGCCAGTGTTAGCACACACAAAACGCTGGCAACCCCCAAGCTATCATCGTTCTACTTCAGGACATGCTAAGGAGTAAACCTAAAACAGCGGTTTGTAAGAACTTTAAACCGACGTCACTCGACCCAAAAAGAGTCAAAGGCGCAGCACTGAAGCTGTGTGATACTCTAGAGTTGATCAAATTAGGAAAAGACAGAAAGGAGAGTAAGGAAGACCACCTAAAGATTTTCTTTTCTGTAAAAGCACATAAGGTGGACTCACCCTTCTGGGCTACTGTAACGGAAAGGGGGCCGTGGCAGAAACAGGTTAGCCAGTTTCTCCTGTGTCATCTTAGTGCCCTAGAGCTTCGGGACCCGTTTCTAGTGCGAAATTCGCATGCCGTTGTGGAATATCTTAGTGCAGGCGAACATGCAGAGGCAGCGGCATTCTCTATGAATGTGGAGGACCTCTTTTACTCTCTGCCTCACGAGGGGCTTTTTATGTCGGTGCGTAAATGTAGTGATGAAAACGCTGTCATTAAGTTTCAAAATAAGAGTGGCATAGAAGTCGATTGTTTTATGGAACTACTGAAATTTTACTTGCAGTCGACATTAATCATGTATGACGATGGTTACTATGTACCAAAAGAAGGAATTTGCATTGGCTCTTGTGTAGCGCCGGTAGTTTGTGAAGTTTTCTTGGCCAAATATGATCAGGCAATCAAAGAAAACTTAGACGTGGAGTGTGTTAAGAAAGTGTTTAGAATCATTGACGATTATCTAGTGGTTACAAGGAGGTCTGAAGGTGCCTCTGAGGACAGGGCTGTAAAAGTCGTGTTGGATGTGTTCACTCAGCATTCTGGGGGGCTAAGGTTTACCCCCCAGAATGGGGCACACCTCCAATTTTTAGACCTTAGACTAGATTTTGGAAAAAGTCACGTGTGTTGGCTTTACCAACCTCGCTCTAAGAAGGGACTACTCCCTTATGATTCCACCAGCTCTAAACTCATGAAAAGGAGCACTGCGTCCTGTTACCTCCGGGCCACCTTGGAAAAGCCCTGCTATCAGTCAATGTCAGTAAGTTTCAGGATGCAGGTACAGCGGCTGCCAGATGCTGGCTTCTTAGCGTCAGTTATTCTGGCAGTGACGCAGACGTTGTTAAAAAAGATTAAGGGAAGGTTAAGTCAGAAAAAAGAGAGGTCCACAACGAGACCCCAGGTGATCCCCGTTACATGCATAAAATCTTGCACACGTTGAAAAAGGCAGCTGGTTGGTTTGACGTCCCCGTTGTTTTTGGGGCACCTCGAGAATTGGCGCCCCTTACAAAAAAATTAAATCTGGCCAGATCTGAAGTTTTCAGATATGGCCATATCAATAATTGGCCACATATAACCTGATATGGTATATCTGCCAGATATAGCCTGGTTAGGTATGAAATTCCCAGATCTGGCTAAGTAAGGAAATTCCAGACCTGGCCAGGCATTTCAAAAGGACACAAGCCTGAAATGAGCACTTTATATATTTTTATTGTCTACGATTCTCCCAAGTGCCCCGGCCCGCACTCGAGGAGTTATGGAAACGGTGATCATTCAGCTGTTCAGAAAATTTTATTCCACAAAAATGCACGCTCGCTGCACGCCACAAACATATTCAACGGTCTCGCGGGGGACTGGTCTGTAGTATCAACTAGAGTTTAAGGCCCATTAAACATTAAAAAGTTGATCATGACGCGACCCCTCACCACACAAAGGTAGCGGCACGACCACCGGCGGAGGAACTCTTGTTCGCCAAGGGAGAACCGCTGGTCGTCCAGGTAGGCGGTGAGTTTTTTTCGGATGTCCCACAACAGCGGCCACAACGCGCGGCGTCGTTGTCGCTGGGCGGTCGCGACACAACGGTTTCGCCACAGCACCCACTCACATATTGCCACTAGTACCAGCGCAAAGGCGCCCCGCGGGCAACGGCCTTGTGTGACGTATACGTCCACCCCGAGACCTCGAAACGAGCGCTGTATTACGCGCCATAGGTCCCTCGCCGGTACACACTCTCTCACGACGTGCGCGTTTGTTTCTATTGCACCACAATTGACGCACTGTGCGTCCCGTACCACTCCCCAGCGGAAAAGTCTGTCTTTTGTTGGGAGCTCACCCCAACCCTTTAACCATTCAAAGTCGCGCACGTGGTCCGGCAGCGTGGACGACGTCAGTGCCAGCCACGGGTACGGCTGCACCGTGCCCGGCGGCGGCGGGGGTTGGTCTGCCACCACTAGGCGTTCAACAAGCCTAGACGCCGGGGCCTCGAGTATCTCCTCTCGTGACACGTGGACGCTGAGCGTGTCGAAGAGATCCGCGGTAGACCTGTAAAATGCAGGGGTCGTCTCCGCTAGGGGCCGAAGAGGGCTCGGAAGAGAGTCTCCCAAAAGACGGTTATTGGCGCCGAGGAAGTAGAGCGTGAGTGGCCGTGCTGGGTTGTCGTGGTCGTCAAGGATTGCCAGGGTTGTCTTCAGGGCCAGTATGGGCGCTGCCAGCTCGATGCACGGAAAGCTCCACCCTCCTTCACAGCGGGGGAGGCATAAGCGGGAGCGCCTCACGAGTTCTGTGCGGTTGTTCCAGAAGAAGGTAAACAACGCCGAGCGCACTTGGAGGATGAAGGGGCGCGGCGGGAGGGCTACGCGGGCCACATGCCACAACCTTCCGCAGAAAACCGTCTGAACAAGGTACCGCCGCACAGCCATGGGGAAGTCGTAATGGCCAGGCTCAGCGGCTTTCTCTGTGATCTCTTGACGCTGGTTGGCCCAGGTCTCCGGAGCCACGCCGGAGGCGTCGTACGAGATTCCAAGAATGGTAACGGACTGGGCTCGCGGCGGAGATGGCGGGCACGTGGGGGGAGCCCCGATACAGAGAGATTTGTTTTTTTCACCTAGGGTTTAACCGTGCGCCGGAGAGGCACGCGTACTCGTCGAAGAGTCGGAGGGCCTTCACCAGGCTGTCTTCGTCGCGCAGGTAGAGGGTCACGTCGTCCGCATACGCCGAGACGCGAAGCTCACCGGGCCCAGGTAGAGCAAGTCCGCTTATGCTGGGGTGCCTGTCGACTCCAACCAGGAAGGGCTCTAAGCTGAGGACGAAAAGTACCGGGGACAGCGGGCACCCCTGCCGAACTCCTCGCGTTACCGGAAAGCGTGCCACTAAGGAGCCATTCAGGAACAAATCACTCCGCAAGTCACTGTACAAGGCTGCGAACAGCTGAGCACTCTCGGAGGAGAAGCCAAACCCGTCGAGAACACCGAGCAGGTATTGGTGCTCGACGCGGTCGAACGCCTTGGCTTGGTCCAACGACACGAGAAGCCCGTTCGCCGTCGGGAGCGTGTGAACTCCAGGATGTCGCGTGTGAGAGTCGTCAAAGTATGTATGCTGCGGCCCGACACCGAGCACGTCTGTCGGGGGTTTACCAGCTCCGGTAGGAAAGTTTGCAGACGCGAGGCTAGGGTCGCCGCGAGGAGCTTGTAGTCACTGTTTAACAACGTTATCGGGCGGCATGCCCCGGGGTCGGCATGGTCACCACCCTCCTTGGGGATGAGTACGATCCGCCCCAGCCGAAAGGATGGCGGTAGGAGGAGGTCTTCAAAGTAGACCCGCACGACAGCGGTAAAGAAGTTACCGAGAATGTGCCAGAACGTGCGGTAGAACTCCGCTGGGAGACCGTCCGGTCCTGGTGCGGAGCCGTTCTTCATCCGCTTCAAACGTTCCACAGCTCGGTCACGGACGGGGGCTGCCGCAGGCCCGCGTCATCCTCGGCGGAGATCTTGGGGAGGCCGCTGAGGAGAGGGTGCGAGGACACCGAATAGCGATCAACCGGCGCGTCCGACTGGGCCAGGGATCGGAAGTGGGCTGCGAAGCGACCATTGTCAAGGTGGCCGGGCGACCCCGATGCGGAGGGCGTCTGCTGTCTTTCAAAGGCTTGTAGGCTTGTGCGATGGGTGTAGCGCAGTACCTCCGGGTGGACCGACGGGCTCCCCTGAGCCTGCAAGACAGTAGCCGCGGTGGAGTCCCACCGAAGGTATCGTTCGTAGCGTCTCTGCAGCTGGTCGAGGTACGCCCTTATGAAGGGGGTCAAGGCGCCCCCTCGGCGGACGATACGGATTCGGAGGATAGTGTCTTGTAGAAGCCCTCGATGCCGTTCGCGGAGGTGCCGTCCCATCAGAGTGCTGAAGCTTTGCCATTGACCTTTTAGGCGGTCCCAAGACGCCGGCTCTGGGCGCACGCCCACTAGCGACTCCTTGACCAGGTTGCCTAGCGTGCGGCGCGTGGTCTCGTCGTGGAGGATCCTGGAATCCAGACGCCACGGACGTGGGGAGCGTGCGACGGCAGAGTCGAAGCAGAACTTGATAAGTAGCGGACGGTGATCGGAAATCTCTTCTGGGCACGACGGGAAGTCCACCGCAGTACAGGTCTGTAGCGCGGCAGATAGCGTGCGAGGCAAGTACAGCCGGTCTATGCGACTTCCCGAAGCCCCTCTGTTCCATTTCGACTGGTGGGTGGATCCATGCAGTAAGGACCATCCGTCTACGAGGTCGAAGTGCCTCACAAGCCGCCGAAGTTCACGGGCGGACCAGGTTGAGCGACCCTGACCAGGACCCCGAACGTCGGCGTTAGAGTCCAGAACGCAATTGAAGTCGCCGACCAAAAAGCACGGGCCCGCGTCGAGTAGATGCACGTCCAGGCTGCGGAAGTACTCGTGCTGGAAGGTCGATACAGTTGGTGCGTAGACAGTGACGAGGCGAAATTTTCGTTCACCGAAGAAAAAGTCCAAACGAAGAGTCCTCCCCTCCGTATAAAAAAGATAAGTGGCATTGCGCAGCAGACTGCGATTGCAGACAACCACGCCCACGCCCGTCGCGCGGCGCGGCGCGTAAGAAAAAAAAGCAGTCACAGAAAACCGGGCTTCGAAATCCGCAACGTCACGAAAGCGGGCAAAGTTGGTGTCTTGCAAGCACAGAAGATCGCAGTTCTGCATCCTCGCGAAATGCATCACTTCAGTTTGCTTCGCTGGGTTTCGAAAGCCCCGCACATTCAGGGATAATATGCGAAGTGTGGCCAGTATAAAGTAAAAAGGGGGATAGGGACGCCGGCGTGTTGCTTAAAACGTGGAGCTGTCGGACGATGCTGGAGAGGGGTCCCGACGCGGGGGGGAGGACTTTCGCGGTTTCTTGGGGCACGTGGCTCGTGGGCCCCCACTGTCACGTGAGCGGGAACCGCTGCTCGTGAGGAGACGCTTGGAGTCCTCGTGCGTTAGTCGGTTCGAGTCGGACTCCGGTGTTTCAGTTGTGGTCGTATCCATACTGTCGGTCGGTGTCTCTGCGGGGCCACCTGGAGCGGGGTTCTCGTCGATGACGAGGCGGTCGCTGTCGCTGGACACCTCGCCATCACCCGACGCTTGGCTCCACGCTGCATAGGCGGTGTCGCCGACAATGACCGCGGCGGTTCGGGCAGAGTCCGTCGCTTCGGCTGAAGTCACCCCCGAGCCGGTCGGGCTTGGCTCAGGAGGGGCGGGTGGGGGCGGCGACGGAAGAGGCGGTGGTACGGCCGCGGCTGCGGCGTCAGGTGGTGACGGAGGGGCGACGGTGGAGACGGTTGGTACGGCCGGAGCTTCGGGGGCGATGGGACGGGTCGCGTTTCCTCGGTCCAGGGCCGGGAAATCGGTGGCGTAGTTTCCGGTGACCATGGAGGAGTAGCTTCTCTTGGCCGTGCAGTCCACAGTCGCGTGGGTTCCACCGCAGCGTCCACAGTTGGCAGTGCAGCCCTCGGTTGGGTGCCCGAAGACACCGGAGCGGTCGCAGTAGCCCGTCGTACACTGTGCCCGGACGTGGCCCTCCTGCCTGCAGCGTCGGCATACGCGCTTCAGGCCGCGGTAGTCAAAAGTAGCACGATGTCCGGCGACGCGCAGGAAGTTGGGCAGGGGGTTAGCCTCCTTCATCTCCATGCGGATGAAGCGGGTTCCTGTTTTCACAGTCGCCGTTCGGTGGTAGGTTGCGTAGGAGACGTCGATGACTTTGCCGTACGGGGCCAGGGCTTGGACGAGCTGGTCGTTGCGCACAAACGTCGGCAGGAAGAGGCAAGTCACATTCGTCACCTGCGGACCCGTCGGCACGATGGAGACGCTGCCGGCCTCACGAAGCTTGAGGGCGGCTGCACGGGTGTTGACGACGACTTGGAAGTTTGTACCTCCTAGGTGCTGCGCCGAGAAAATTTCGGGCAGCCCCACAATGGCGGATATCCCATCAATGAGATCGTCCGCCGATGTGCCTACTGGCTACTGGCACGACAACGTCGAAAGCGTGCGCTTTCGGCGGGGGAGAAGATTCCGTCGACGCGGCCGCCATGGCGGTTCGCACCCTCGCCGGGGCGCTCGACGACACGTAGCCAGGGACCGCAGAACGCAGGCCCCGGACGAGATGCAGCCAGGAAACCAGGAACTCAGGAACAGCGACGAGATGCTCCCTAGTGATCGCTAGTTTTGACCAATTCCATGGTTACACAGTTTCGAGTGTAATTCGTAGTCACCCTGAACAAGCGTCCCATAGGGCTCAAGTACCTTCCTTATCACTTTTAAAATTTCTCGTCAATGGCAGCGTTTATGATACTGTGCATTCTGTCCAACCTTCAGCCAGGCTGAGCCGCCGAAATCTCTTACCATATTATCATTCTCGTGATTGTCATTTTAGCAGGAATTACTTAAAAGCCGAGAAATCACAACAAATAAAAGCGGGATTTAGCTCGGATTCAGCGGAGCTGCTTATGACATTTTTAGCGTTTCTAACTTAATATCCGCGTCTTTGAAGCTGTACGAGAATGATAATAATGTAAGAGATATGTCTGCAGCTCATCCAGGTTGAAGGTTGGACGGAATGCACAGTACTGACATTGGCGGGACATTTTAAAAGTGGTATGGCAGGTACTTGAGTTATGTACGCCACGTGTTCAGGGTGACTCCGAATTACACTCAAATCTGTGTAACCATAGAATTGCTCGAAATTTTCGATCACTAGGCAGCTGAAGATACACCGTCCCCATGATTCCTCGAGTATGGGCCGAGGAACTTAGGGGATTTAGCAAATTGTCTATTCGGGCGTAATGTTAACACTTTGAAATAATTAAGCTACAGTGAAATCCTCGTGAAAACTAGCACAAATAATCTCAAACTTAAGCTTGTCGAAGCCGAAGTTTGGGATTATTTTTTCTAATATTTAGCTCGCGAACAATGATACATTCACAGTTTGCTAACAAAGAAATCTTTTTTACTTTTTTAAACTTTTTAATATGTTGAAAACCAGCCGCCAGATAAGTCTGTATATACGCCAGATAAGTCTGTATATACGCCAGATAAGTCTGTATATACGCCATATAAGTCTGTATATATGTCAGATAAGTCTGTATATATGCCAGATAAGTCTGTATATACGCCATATCAGGCTGTATATACGCCAGATAGGTATGTATATACGCCAGATATGGCTGTATATAAGCCGTATATAATCATATAATGTTTGATATGGCCAGATATGGAACAGATATAAGATTTCCATACGGGGCAGCTCTTCCCTAGGATAGCGGAAAAGGCCAATGTGCCATAAAGCACACGAACAAGTAGGTTGATTATGTGGTTGGTGTGGCGTACTAGATCCCACTAAGCTGCGGAAGAGTGTACATCGGAGAAACTGGCCGATGTATTAATGACAGGGCAGGTGAATATGACTGGTCACTCCGGTCGACCGCTGGGGGTCACTTGCCTCTGCATTGTGCTGCCTGTAAATGCCAGCCCAAATTCAACAACGTCACCATCACCGGGAAGCGCACAGATGAATTCACCAGAGCATTATTGGAAGAGTATGCAATAACAAAAGAGGGGCACGATGCATCCGTCAGCGAAACATCGGTTTTTCTTCACAAAAAAGGAATTGCTTATTTTGACACGTCGTGAAGCGACAGTGCGGTTTACTTCGTTGGTGTTTTTTCAATAAATGTTTAGTTGTGAGTCCAGCGCTTGGGTGTTGTTCGCATCTTCCCTTCGTCCTTGTCTATTATTTGCGCGCTGTTCATTTCCGTTTACTATGAATCAACTAGCCTACATCACGACACTAATCCAGCACTCGGATGTATGTGCTCGTTAACAATCAATCGGTCCACGAATATATTGTTTTTCGCGTTTGTGCCCAATAGTGTCGTGACAAAACTTATCGTGCTCTTGTGAATGACAAGTTCAATGGTATGCTTAAAAACATGGTGGAAGCTTGGAGCAATGGCATCCGGTGTCCAAGCACATCACAACCATGTGATTTCTCCTTTTACTTTTGGGTTGAGGATTGAAGCTAAGGAGGAAGAAGTTGAAAAATCATTTCCTGGTCCCTTTGAACTTTAATACCCCATACGGTTACGGTTCTTATGCCGACTCGCGGTGGGTTTTATAATACCTAGCGTTGTCTCCACTGCGCATGCGGTGAACGCTAACCTATAGCTATATGCTACAGATGATGAATAAATTCATCTTGTGTACTATGCGCAATTATGCGACTTCATTTAGTTTCATAGCAGCCTCGAAGACAACGAGGCTTAGCGCTGACTTACATATCCCCAGTTAGTTCCACGGATCCCCAGACGCTCAGTGATGATACTTAATTAATGAACGTCTGATCTTACGCCTGTGGCAGTTAGGATTAAGACTGGTAGAAACTGC